GGTTGTTGCTGTTGTTGTTTTGGGGTCCGGGAGGGGGGGGGGGCTGGTGAATATTATCATTCCCCTACTTTCGTATGGGTTACACTGCGTTGTTGCCTGTTTATACAACGCCGTAAACCTGAACCCGTGACGACCGTTATTCCCTACGTCACTGATGGGTTGTTTGCCCAGGAAAAACGTGTTCCGATCGGTCAAGCAAATGGATTTTTCTTGCTCGCCGTCTTCCTCCGGGTAATGGTACTCCTCCCTCACGCATGTAACCCGGGTAGAAAGATTCAACTACATTATGCTAAAAGCGAAAGGGTTGGTAACCTACTTTCCTGTAGTTCTGCTTGTTCACTTTCCTCGTAAATTGAAAAGCACTTTTATTGCTGAAGTTCTTTGAAGTGAACAGAGTTTGTGAAGTTTTGACTTACTGTCGTTGGTTCGTTAAAATGTTCTCTCTGTATTTGTAAGGTACGTGGGTAGTTTGAGATCATACCGAATAAAACGTGAGAGCTGTACTCTCATTGTTAATTTTTCTTCTAACTCGTAAGAGTTAATATATTATGCGCCAATATTGCCAGGAAACCATCCAAATGGGATGACATGAATAGTCTACCCATGTGGGTTTGGAGTCAAGAAGCTGATCATTAATATTTATTTATTACGCTTGATCTTGTCACGTTTCATAAGCATATGGCAGACATCGTGGTGAAATCAGGTGCTCGTCAAATTAATAAAAATCCAAGATACCGGTATTTTCCCATCAGTTTGGTAATTTTTGTAAATTCTTTTAAAATATTTTGCTCTACACCTTTTATGGCTGTTTAAAAACACATATCTGTGTAGATTTTAAAAAACTGAAAATCGTTGATTAAAGACACAAAAAGTACATTTTCAGTTTCCAAGTCACCAAAGTGTAACGGCCATTTTCTCGCTAATCTCTAAATCCAGGGAAAACCCCATAATCAAATGCATATTATATTACGGATTCTATTCAAGACAGACGGGTGTTTCTTCTCGGAAACATAAATGATCAAGCTTTAAGATTTTATCAAAAACACTAAATGCCCCCAAAACTGACTAGCGCCCGATTCCAGCTCCTTGTGACACATAATATAAATACAGTTTACCCTGTAGTTTCTTTCGGAAACCGGAATTTTCACATTTTAAATGATAAACCCTTTCTGGAAAATCTGACTGCGAGCTTCCGAACGTTTATCACTTTTTAAAAATATTGTAGGGGGAACTAATAAAACTCAGGGTAAGTTGCTTAATGTCCTTTTGGGGTGTTATGCTAAGTGGCACATTTTCGTTACCAATGTACAGGCATTACGATTGTAATTAGTTGAAAGGTATTTCTTTTCGTAGTAGTATCAGTAGACATCGAAATGCAACCGAAGTGACCAGTCCGTAACTTATTTCAACAGCTTACAGTGCTACTGGTTTATGATCGAACCTACATATTCCGATGAAATCTTTCGTGAGCACACCCCGTAATCAACGATGCTGGCAGAGAACACGTTCACAACAACGTGACAGGTTTATGAAAGAGGATGAGACTCCCCACTTTGCCAAGACAAAGCTATGGGTGTCACAACATGGTGTCACCAAGCGCTCGTCTGTTTTTTGGGCACTTGGAGTTGTTAGTATCATCTTAAATCGGGTCCATTTGTCTTGTTTTTAATGAATGAAATACACATCTATCTGGAATAGGATTCAAGCTTTTTGAAAGTGAAGGGGGTGGGTTCACCCTGTGTCAGAGGCAAAATAGCGAAAAACGGACGCCAAAGTTTGGTGACTTCAAATTTATAAATATTTTTTTGTGTCTTTGAAAAGTGTTTTTCTATTATCCACACAAGAATATGCTTTCGGATGAATATAAAAGATATTGAGGAAAAATGAAGCAAACAAGAAAACATTAAATAAAAATTGCCCGAAAAAAAATGTCGATTTCTTAGATTTCACTATTTTGACGAGCGCCTGATTTCACCACGATGCCACACATATTCTCTCGTGCATTTCTGCCAGAGTGAGCGATCGCTAGATAACGTGACAATTTGTCAACCCGCAACTAAAATGTCCCATCTGGAGTACAGGAGTGCTGCAAACGAAACCTTTTGCTGCTCAACTCAAGGAATGTAAAGACTGCAGGTCTCTCACAGGACAGGTAATATGGCTGTCTAGGGGATTCGATCTAGGGAAAACCGAGAACGTTCCTGAGTGTTCTTGGGTCTGCTGGAGTAATAATGGTTGTAAACCGCATAGAGCAGGCTGTTGAGCATGGATATGCGCTATATATGTATGTAAATGTTGAAGTTTTTATTGCTATTATTTTTATTTTTATTATTGTTGTTATTGTTATTATCATAATCATTACAATGAGAGTGAAACTCAAGGGATTGTGTCTGTGAGTGTCTCTTGATATGTGTTGGTGTTTGAGCGCTGATGTTTGAGTGTGTTTGTTTGTGTGAGTATATGTGTGCATGTGTTTGAGGGTGAGCAACTTTTGGTGTGCGTGCGCGATGTATCGTTATGTATGTGTGGGTGTGTGTTTGTATATATATATATGTGTGTGTGTGTGTGTGTGTGTGTGTGTGTGTGTGTGTGTGTGTGTGTGTGTGTGTGTATGTATATATTTAAATGTACATGTGTATTCATGTGCATGCGCGTGTGTGAGTTTGTGTGTATATGTGTGAGTGTATTTGTGTGAGTATATAAGACGGCCTTTCGAAAAGAAACCCCAGAACGACTTATCTGATTTTATTTTTTTATTTTTAAAATTATATTTTGGGGGGGGGGGGTTTCTATTATTTTCATCCTTCTCGTAAAACCATTACGACAGCCATAAACAGCAGCCTCAACAGCAATAATAACTATGAGGACAACAGTAGTAACAACTAAAATACATTCAGCCACAGCACCGTGCTCAGCTGTTGCTTTTGATAACAAAGGAAAGGTTTAGAATATATTTTCCATATTGTTTCATTTTTTATCGCGCGATATTTCATGTATCTCCACAAGATTTCTATTCGTTTCATTTTTCTGTTTTTTCCCTGTTGATCTGTCTTTGTACACTGTTGGATGTCGGTTAATTACCACTTTGCATACTGTAAGGTTAAAAAAGAGTAATTGTGGGTAATTGGCGGGTGTTTTGATGTGGTTTGCTCCTTCTTTCCCATCAAACATCCATCGTTCTGGTCTCTACTTCCTCTTTTATTGTGTTTACTACTCTCTTGTCTTATATATTCTCTATGTTCTTCGTCACTGATTTGGGCTTATTGTCTTGCAGGTGCCGTAACCTTCTTACTAATTTTTAAAAAAAGAGATTATTCATTCAAAGGTGACGCTCATTTTTGCTTTGACCTAGCCTAGTGGCAGCAGAGAATTAAGGAGATTTCTTGAAAAACTCAAGTTAAAAAAATTTCAAGCTGAAAATTTGTACCGCGGTTATCCCCACCCGCCGTTGTCCAGCATGATACCGACTGAGCTACCGGCGCGCTCTAGCAGATTTGTGTTCTTCCATTCATTTACTCTCTCTCTCTCTCTCTCTCTCTCTCTCTCT